ACCTGCTTGTTGTATATCTTGCAAAACTTATAGATTTAGTCTTAATAAATCTTATTTTTATTGTTAGCACTATTGCTAGATATTTTATTTTTTGTCAATGTTACGAATGAGACCTTTTTCCAAAATATTTTTCAATTATTCCTGAATCATAGGAAAGTTATTTTTTAAAATCTTTCTCTGAACACTGACACTTAGTTGAGTTCTCTTATTAATTCTAACAAGTTTTCCATTGACTCTTGCTAATGTTCTAGTTTGACTATTATCATTCACAGCCAATATGGTTATCTGGAATCTTCCTTCTCATTAGAAAAGCTTCTTATTTCTCCTTCATGTCCTACTGCTATGTATTAGAGGTGATAATAATTGCTTGGTTGGTTTTTGTTTGTTTGCTTGCTTTTTTTTTTTTAAGTGCATGCTTCTTTTAAAGTCAGCAAAACAGTGTCTGTCCTCAAGCTTTCTGCCAGAGAACACAACTTTAACTTGGCTGCTGTTCAACTATTACTCAGTCAAGAGAAATGGTGCTTACAGTTAGTAGTTGGAAGGATATGAGTTGACTCTGTGGCAGTTTCAGTTTTATCCCTGGACAAAACCAGATCACCAGAGAGCCACAAACTTGCTTTGCAATGTCTTGGCCCTGCAGAATTGCCTTCATAGAACGGGTCTTTGCCTTCTTCCCTTGAGTTACATTAGGAATATTATAAAATTGCCTTTAAAATCTACTATCATAATTATTATTTAAAAAATTTTTTTTTGTTGTACTTTAGATGAAGGTTTACAGAACAAATAGTTTCTCATCAGTCAGTACACATATTGTTTTATGACATTAGTTAACAACCCCATGACATGTTAACACTGTCCCTTCTTGATCTTGGAGGACTTTTTTTTTTTTTTTGGTGAAAATATACATAGCCAAAGTTACACCATTTCAAAAGTTTCTACGTGTACAATTCGGTGACTTCGATTACATTCTTCCAGTTGTGCTGCTATTCTCACTATCGTTTTCCAAATTATTCCATCACAATTATCTTCAACTCACTGCCCCCTAGGCTTCCTATCAAACCTTTTGAGTTGCTGTTGTCAATTTGATCTCACATAGATAATTCTTTTTTTTTTTTTTGTACCTTAGATGAAAGTTTACAGAATAGTTTCTCATTAAACAGTTAGTACACATATTGCCCTCTGACAATGGTTAACAACCCCACGACATGTCAACACTGTACTTTCTCAGCCTTGGGTTCCCTATCACCAGCTTTCTTGTCCCCTCCTGCCTTCTAGTCCTTGTCCCTGGAATGCTGTGCCTCATTAGTCCCATTTTGTTTTATGGGGCTGTCCAATCCCCAGCTGAACGGTGAACCTCGGGAGTGACTTCGCCACTGAGCTAAAAGGGTGTCCGGGGGCCATACTCTTGGGGTTTCTCCAATCTGTCAGGCCAGTAAATCTAGTTCATAATTATTTTTAAGGATTTTTTGGTTCGTTGTCTGTGACATCACTTAGTAACCTAAATATAAAGAAAAACGCACACTAGAAATGTCTTTAATACTACAGTCCTACAAGAAACAGTTGGTATAAGTTACTAAGGTTAGATTTCAGGGTCCCTGTGTCCAAGTTAAGGTCCCTGGGTGGCACAAACAGTTTGCACTTGGCTACTGACTGAAAGGTTGACAGTTCAAATCTACCCAGTGGCACCACAGAAGAAAGCCCTGGTGATCTACTTTGTAAGGTTACAGCCATTGGAAACCCTACGGAGCACAGCTCTACTCTGAAACACATGGGGTCACCATGAGTCAGAATCGATTCGATGGCAATGGGTTTGGATTTTTTGGTCTGGTGTCCAAGTTACATAACCTGACATGTCATGAGGCTCACTAAGTTGTCCACACAAGGGCTCTGGTAGCAGTGAAATTGAGTTAATTCATCAAAGTCTGGGCCTAAATGTCTAGGCAGATACAGTCATGTGAAAGCCAGGCATGTTTAGTATGGAAACTGGGAACAAATCTGAGTGAAAAAGTCAGAGGAAGTCTCTAGACCAGAGGAAAGGAACAGGTGGGACATGTGCACCGTTAGTAGAGTCCATTTATGTGACACAGGAAAGCTACATACCTGCGCACCTTGAATTCAGAACCCTTTAATTGAAAAGTGCTTTCTGATTACACAGTCAGTTTTTATTAATGATTACTACCTGGAATAGCCACATGAAAATTTTTCTGAATTATCAAAGAAATCTTGTCAGTCTCGGGGAATATCTAGCTCAATTGACATAACATAGATTATAAAGAAAATGTTCTATATTCTACCTTGGTGAGCAGCATCTGGGGTCTTAAAAGCTTGTGAGCAGCCATCTAAAATACTCCAGTGGTCTCACCTCATCTGCAAGGGAGCAAGGGAGAATGAAGAAAACCAAAGACACAACGGAAAGATTAGTCCAAAGGACTAACGGACCACAACTACCACAGCCTCCACCAGACTGAGTCCAGCACAGCTAGATGGTGCCTGGCTACCACCACCATCTGCTCTGACAGGGATCACAATAGAGGGTCCTGGACAGAGCTGGAGAAAAAAGTAGAACAAAATTCTAACTCACCAAAAAAGATCAGACTTACTGGCCTGACAGAGACCGGAGAAACCCTGAGAGTATGAACCCTGGACACCCTTATAGCTCACTCAGTACTGAAGTCACTCCTGAGGTTCCCCCTTCAGCCAAAGAATAGACAGGCCCATAAAACAAAACGAGACTAAATGGGCGCACCAGCCCAGGGGCCAGGACAACAAGGCAGGAGGAGACAGGAAAGCGTTAATGGGAAACCCAAGGTCAAGAAGGGGAGAGTGTTGACATGTGGTAGGGTTGGCAACCAATGTCACAAAACAATACGTGTTTTATTTGTTTAATGAGAAACTAGTTTGCTCTGTAAACCTTCATCTAAAGTACAATTTAAAAAAAATCTTGTCAAAGACATCATCCATTATTCAATGTATCAAACTTAAGGTCCCAGATGAGAAATGAGAAATTTTATTCGGTTATTTCCTTAAGGAAAAGCTTTGACTCCTTTTTCAAATTCAGATGCTTGCACCGTTTGAGTAATGACCTCTGTATATTATTGTTTCCCTTTTCTCCCCCACATTGCAAGAAACTCAGAACAAAATTTGCCCCTTGTCTTATTTAACTAGTGGTGCTATAACAGAAATTCCACAAATGGATGACTTTACCAAAGAGAAGTTTATTCTCTCACGGTTCAGTGGGCTAGAAGTCCAAATTCAGGATGCCAGCTCCAGGGGAAGACTTTCTTTCTCTGTTGGCTCTGGGTGAAGGTCCTTGTCATCAATCTTTCTCTGGTCTAGGAGCTTCTCAGCACAGGGACCCCAGCCCAAAGGATGTAGGTGCTCCTAGTTCTTCTTGCTTGGTGGTATTGAGGTCCCCCTGTGTCTCTGTTCCCTTCTCTCTTTTATATCTCAAAAGAAATTGACTTAAGACAAAACCTAATCTTGTAGATTGAGTCCTGCCTCATTAACACAACTGCCTCTAATCCTGCCTCTTTAACATCATAGAGGTAGGATTTACAACACATAGGAAAATCACATCAGATGACAAAATGGTGAACAATCACACAATCCTGGGAATCATGGTCTAGCCAAGTTGACACGCATTTTTGTGGGACACAATTCAATCCTTGACACCCCTCGATCAGAGCTATTGCATGTGCCCTCAGAGTTGACATATTTGTTTCTTATTCATTGTAATGGTTCTAATTTCCTCTTTCTAGTTTATTGGCCTTATCAATAATATTTTTTGTAGGACATTCCAAATCTTTTTGGAAAAAAGGCCCAGTACCTATGGTATTTTGTTTGCTGTTGTTAATGGGTCAAATGAGGGCTGTGGCTGAAGATTTATCATAAGGAGAACCAGGGCAGGCACACAGTTAAGACAGAGATTGCAACTCACTGTGTAAAGAAATGAAGGAAGCCAGCCAGGTTCAGCAACAGCGGCCTGCACAGTCTATTCCCCATCTAATGGAGGTAGTTGCCATTCTACCCCTAAGATTAGACTGGTGTCTTTAGGTAATGCAAGCACGGATTGCTAGATCTCAACAATTTTTCAAAAAAAGCTAGAGATCTAGATTTTAGTGGGAATTCTTGTTTTTTAAATGCTGGCAACCAATTCAAATTTTTAAAAACACTCTGGACCAAGCCACCATCTATGGGCCAGACACGGGCCTTTGGGCTATGAGACATCTGGGAGCGTATCAGACACTCAGTTACCAGGGGGACAAGGCAGAAACTTTGCCACCAGGGATATGATGTCATAATGACACCAAGAATCGCACTGACTTGAACCTTAATTATAAAGGAATTGGGTCTGAAGTCAGAAGTTTCGAGCTCTGTCACAGATTTTCTGAGCATGAATTAGTAGAAAGAGCCCTGGACTTGGAATCTGGGAACGTGGCCCTGGTCTCAGCTCTGCCACCAATAGATCATGTTCGGGGTTGGAGAACCCATTTAATTTCCCAGGCCTCCAGGATACTCCCCACACGAGAAGGAGGTTAGATTAGATATATAAATCTTTCTAATTCTTTATTTCTGTAAGTCTCTTAGAAAACCGAAAGATATGTGAATATGAAAAGAAAACAGTTTCTTCCCATCTTTAGATATTGTACATCTACAGAAGAATTATCTAAATTCCTGATGCTGCTGTACACACTATCTAAATGGGCTGAATTTTCAAGAAAGAGTGAAAAAAAAATCAAGATTGATAAACAAGGGACAGTGGGAAATCAAATCTCCACGAAAGCAAGTTCTAATTTTACATTTCCCTATCAACAAAAACATTGCCATAATATATATAATGCTTTGACTATTTTGAGGAAAGGGTAGAATTAATATTTATAATTTACTATCAGGTGATGTTTGGACATATACTCTTGTTATATCTGATCTCTTTCTGTAAATAAAAAAAAAATCACAAGCTATAAACAGCCAACTATTTACAGTGTTTTCAGAATACATACTTACTTTAATTCTGTAATGATTGCTTCCAGTTTTTCCTTAAGGGCACCACAAAATTCACCCACCTTTTCCTCTTTTCTATAAAACTGAAAGGTTGGTATGCACATGATCCCACAGTCTTTAATCAGCTCCTCACACTCATCCGCATCCACTTCAAGGAACACCACATTATCATACTTGAAAGACAGGGCGTTGAACTCTGGCTTGATGATCTTGCAGGGCCCGCACCATGTGGCCGAGAAGTCCACCACCACCAGCTTCTCGCCAGCCTCTTTGAGTACGGCCTCAAAGTCCTCCTTGCTCTGGATCACCATCACCTTGTCACCTTCCAGGGCTGTGGTTGTTTCTTCTGAGGGCACTGCAGTGTCACCTTCCAGGTACTTGATTGCTTGTTCTGAGGGTTTCGGAGCATCGGCTTCCAGAGGCTCAATGGCTTGTTCCGACAACCTTGGGGCAGTGCCTGCCTCGGGCTGGACCGCATCTGTGGGCTGTGGAGTGGCGGCCTCCTGTGCGGGCTGCGGAGCTTCTGGCACCTCAGGCAAGCTGGTGACCTTGAGGGCCAAGGTGTTCTCCTGAACCTCTGCTGGTTCTGAGAGCTCCAGCTCTGGGAGGGTGGCGTTGCTGGACCGGACTTGTAACGGACTTTCTAAACAGAAAAGTAAATAAAACAAAATTTCAAAGGAAGAAACAAAAAGAAGTCTGACCCTATACTCCTAGGAAGATGATTATGGTGGGTGAGTCATAAAGGAGAAAGTGCTTCATGACAGCTTCACTTAGGAAGACAGATGACAGTCTCAGAGATCAAGAATGATGTCCGATAAATGATGTATGAATTTAAATAGCCACATTGAAGAAAAGGTCAAGCAGCTTGAAATTATGTATATCATTTATGTAGGTTTTGTTTGTTTGTTTTTAACTACAACGTTCTCTGCTGGGCTCAAGGCTGCTGACTCCTCCCTAGCATTTAGACCCCAGAGGTGAGTCTCTTCCCTCCCCCATACCGTTAGGGTGGCCTTCCTTTGTCTCTTCTTGATTGTCCAGCCTCATTTCCAGTTCTTCCAGGGCTCCAACTTGATCACTCTCCATTTTTAGTTCTCCGTCTACATCCACTCCTTACACTTCATATATACTTCATATACCTCATAGTGAAGACGCAGTCATGCCCTCCAAGTGTTTCCAACCTGACGTCATAATATGAGTGATAACTTGTACTCGGGTCGCACTTACAGCTGGTCTCCCCTATCTGCACTCACAACAATGACATCTGAGTGCTTCATGACAGCGTCACTTAGGTGATTACCCTGTGCGTGAGGCTGGGCTAAGCGCCTGCTGTTCATTCATAGGCAGTATTTCACGTATCACTCACAACAATGATGTAAGCACCATTATGATCACCACTTACAAATGAGAAAACTGAGGCTTGAAAAAGTTTATGTAACTTGCTCAACATCACGAAGCTAGTATGCAGAGCAGATTCCAAAATGCACGCCCTTAACTGCTACACTGTACTGCACTGTTTGCCAAATGTCCCGTCCAGGTTTGCTAACTTGAAACCAACTCCCACAATCTCCCTCCAGCCTTCTCCAGCTGGAGCTTTCTCCCTTATGACTCACCCACCATAATCATCTCTTAAGTATATCCTTTTAACTATGGTATCCTCTGCAAAATCCCACTGGACTGTCAGATGTCCAGCAAATTAAGACCAAGCTCATGCCAGGCTGCCCTGCTCCCCGCCCTCCCTCCACCTCCCTGCTCTAGGAGCCCCATCTGTGCACACTGCCCTCCCATTCTGGAACAGCCTCCTGATGCCTAATCCCAGTTCCATCAGCCACGTCTATCCCATGCTGTGGAATCTGAATCCAAATATCTTTCCCCCAGTGGTCAATGTACTGATGTGGAATTTCTGCATTCTCCACATATACTTAGATTGTATGAGTTCTCATCTGTTTTAGTTTCACCCCAACAATATAAGTGTTGAACTCAAGAGGGTTGTCTATATTATAAGACCTCCATGTCTGTAGGAGGTTGAAAACGTCCAATGACTGGCTCAGTTATCTGGAAGAAGAGGGCAAAGGATATGGGGGAGAGAGACTGTTGGCTTTAGCAAATCCATATTTCTTTTTTTTTTATTGTGGTAAAAACATACACAACAAGACCTTTACCAGTTCAACAATTTCCACATGTACAATTCAGTGACACTGATTACATTCTTCATGCTGTGCAGCCTTTATTACTATCCTTTTCCACATAATTTCACCACCATTAACATAAATTCAATGTCCCCTAAGCAAAACTTCCCCTTTTCCCCTCCACCCCAGCCCTGATAATCATTAATAATCTTTGGTTTCTATATATTTGCTTATTTCATATACATGAGATCATAGAGTGTTTGTCCTTTTGTGACTGACTCATTTCACTCAGCATAATGTTTTCTAGGTTTGTCCATGTTGTGGCATGTATCAGGACTTCCTCTTTAGGGCAGCGTACAAATTCATATTTCTTGATTACATTAATCCTATTCCAGGGAAGAGCTCATGTTCTTACTTTGCTTCCCCAGATGCTGCCAGTGAAGGCTCTGCACTTCCTCACTGGGAAGCTTTGGACAAAGACTCACAGAGCCTTCCTGGTTCTCAACGCAGAAGGTCTTTCTCCCTGTTATGGATCGAGTTGTGTCCCCTCAAAATGTGTGTCAACTTCGCTAGTCCATGATTCCCAGAATTGTGTAATTGTCCACCATTCTGTCATCTGATGTGATTTTCCTATGTGTTACAAATCTTACCTCTATGATGTTAATGAGGTGGGATTAGAGGCAGTTATGTTAATGAGGCAGGACTCAATCTAGAAGATTAGGTCCTGTCTTAAGTCAATCTCTTTTGAGATATAAAAACAGAAATGAGCAGAGAGACATGGGACTTCATACTACCAAGAAACAAGGCCCAGGAGAATAGCGCCTCCACTGGACCCAGGGTCCCTGAGCTGTGAAGCTCCTTGACTGGAGAAGATTGGTGGTAAGACCTCCCCCGAGACCTAACAGAGAGAGAAAGTCTTTCCCTGGAGCTGGCACCCTGAATTTGAACTTCTAGCCTCCTAGACTGTGAGAGAATAAATTTCTCTTTGTTAAAGCCATCCACTTGTGGTATTTCTGTTATAGCAGCACTAGATAACTAAGACACTCTTAAATGCAAAGAACTTCTACAACCAATGAGACTCTCACTTCATTGTGTTCCATTTTAAAGCAGAGGATGGGTGTTATGGATTGAATGGTGTCCCCTAAAATATGTGTGAGAATTCTAACCCCTATACCTATGATGTAATCCCCTTTGGAAATAGGGTTTTCTTTGTTATGTTAATGAGGCCATGCCAGTGTAGAGTGTGTCCTAAACCTAATCACTTCTGAGTCATAAAAAGAGCAGATCGGACGCAGAGGTTAGCACATACTGGGAAGACAGACACCATGTGAGGATCTTCTGCTAGCCAGGGAACCAAGGAATGCCCCATCTACTGACAAGGAAGGAATCGCCACGACTGAGACCCTCATTTGGACTTTTAGTCTCCAGAAGTGTGAGAAAATAAAGTCAGCCACCCCCTTGTGGTATTTGTGTTACTGCAGCACTAGGAAACTAAGACATTGGGGACATGACTTGTCTGTTCAACATCTTCACTGGTAGAGGTTCGGGGAAGAGAACAAACACTGAGGTTGAACATAAGTCACGTAAATCCTTATGAGCAGGTTTTATCGGCATAAAAGGGACAATATCTTTAGACTTCGACTTACTGGTAAATTAATTTCTCTCCTTGTACCATGTTCTGTACCGGGTTCTGGCTACTTGGAGGGAGTAGATTATGACACAGAGGAACTTCTGATTGGGAGGAAGAAGTAAAAACATCATCCCTTCCATCATGGGAGAAGGTGGGAAGGGGAGAAAGGGCCCAGATGGAGTGGGAAGCAAGAGGACAGATACTCATGTCCTGGCCTGCTCTCTCCGGGTTGAAACCTTGGCATGGAGGTAGGTTAGGTACGTTCCAAGGAAAGGCAGAGGGGTATTTGTGTCATGCTCCATCTGGAAGGCCAGGAAAAGCCATATCCATGGGCCTCCAGGTTCACATCCTTCCCACGCCCAGGGCAGCATCAGCCACTGGCAGGGGGCATGGCTGGATACAGATGCTGAGGCTTGCCAGAGACCTGGAAGTCTGCACACCCTGGAGTGGGGCCACGGGTGTTCTGAGAAAACCAGGAGCTAGTCAAGGCCTAGAGGAAGAAGGAACGGGCCACGGTGTAGAGGCAGCTATGACCAGGAGCCGGGGCTAGAACCACAGGCTCCACCAGGCATAACAACACAATGCTCCCACCCCTAGAAGGGATCAGCCCTGCCTCAGCAGTCCTTGTCCAGGGACCAGACCAGACTGGCCACTTCACGGGAGAAACCAGCAAGAGGCCAGAGGGCCCAGCCACAACTCATCCACATAGCCCTGTGCAGACACACGGGGGAAAGGGACAGACCCTGAAAGACTGAACTGCACCAGAATCAAGAAGTTTTCTTTAAGCTGAAGTTCCACAGATGGGCCCCTTTAATCCGGTGTTGCTGCTCCTCACCACCTGTTATGGTTTGAATTGTGCCTCTCACCCCAAAAATATGTATTGAAGTCCTGGCCCTTGTACCTGGAGATGTGGTCCTGTTTGGAAATAGGGTTTTTCTTTTGTATGTTAATGAGGTCATATCAGAGTAGGGTGGGTCCTAAATCTAATCACTTCTGAGTTATAAAAAGATCCGGTTAGACACAGGCACACACAGGGGAAGACAGACACCAAGGAATGCCAAGGAATGCCAAGGACTGCGGGCAGCTGCTAGATGCTGAAATAGACCAAGCAGGGCCCCCCATAGAGTCATGCCCTGAATTCACACTTCTAGCATCTGTGACAGGAGATCTTAGCTGTGTTTTAGGGCTGGCAGAGTTGTTCCAATTATTTTTACTCCTCATTCTGCAATTCCGATGAATTCCAAGCAACTTGAAATCTTGGTGCCTCTGAACAATTTTCATTCAGCTTGTCATAAAATGTATTTTTTCCTTCAGCACAAGCTTGTCCCCAGATTGCTCATGAACCCTGATGTCAGTGAGGACTCTGCCTTAGGAAACAGAAATGGCCAGCTATTTTAGGCATAGGATGGCTTTAAAAAAAAAGATTGCTGTCACTTCAGTTATTTAAACTCACGGTGACCCCATGTGTGTCAGAGTAGAGCTGTACTCCATAGGATTTTCTAGGCTGATTTTTTTCTTCCCAGGCACCTATGGGTGGGTTCAAGCCACCAACCTTCCGGTTAGTAGTTGAGCGCTTAACCATTTGCACCACCCAGCAACTCCACACAATGACTTAGGTGATTATAAAATGGCTGGAAAGTCTGGCTTCAGGCTGGGATCCAGGAATGACTCCAGAAAATGAACAACACTTCAGAGCTGGCCGGCCAGGGACGGTGGGGAATCTGAAGGTCGCCACTTGAACTGCTGCCTTGAACTTCCTGTGAAAGCTGCAATCCAGGGCTGGGTCAGCACCCCCACAAGCCCTTCTCAGCTCAGAGCCAGAGGTGAGCACCGCAGTGCTGCTCCAACATGTCCCACTGGGCCAGCAACAACAGTAGTGTGCAAGACGACAGTCTGAATCTCCTGCAGGTCCACCTCCCGAACCCCAGCTTCAAGGGAGTCAAGAGCTTCCTAGCCTCTACAGTGCAGGCAAGCACACTAGAAGGAAGCTGGAATAAACACCAAGTGGAAATTCATTTCTACCACGCCCTTACAACATTAAGTATTAGTTTTGTATACGTTTTGCTTGCATCATTTTGTGGTTTTATAGTTATAAAAGTAATGCATGTTTATAATAGAAAACACTGATAAGTAAAAAGAAAATAAAAATTACCACAGGGCCAATCCTCAAGGATCACCCCTATGAATATTGTGACGTAGATATTTTCAAGTGAGACAATTTTCCACGTATTATTTTGTAATCATTTCACTTAGAATATATTTTGAATATTTTCCATGCCAAAACATGTTCACTAAACTCCATTGCTGTCAAGTGGATTCCAACTCAC